GCTGTGCCACTGGGGGGCGTAACTGAACAAGAAACAAGAAAGGTTTTAATATAAATATTACCCTTCTCGATTTAGCTGAACGTGGCACTATTTCTTGACACAGAATATAGACAGATTGTTGTTGCTGAAAGGTTTCAGCTAATAATAATCATATTAAATACTTTATTTTGTGGTCAAGCTAATAAAAAGTTCAATTGCTACCTAATATAACTAACTTATACAGCATAGTAGAATGATTGCAAGGTAACAGCTGTTGTCTCTAATATATAATTTATTTAAAAGGAAAGAATATAATTAGTCGCCATATTTCATTTTTTCTCAATATACATCAAATTGAATACTTCTTAAAGCTCATAATTCAGCTGGTGTTATTATAGAGTCGGCAGACTCTATATGTAGGCACGGCCAAAGTACCCAATAGGCATAATACAAATATACACGCTAAAAATCAATAATAACAGAGAGTTTTTTAAAAGATGATTGTCATTCACTTTCATTTGTTTTTCTACCCAACAAGCCTAAAAACAAGATAAGAAACCATCGCTAAGATACCAAACCAGAAAGTGACCAACCCACCAAATTGTTCTTCTTCTTGTTTGAGTCGAGGTAACTCCACAACTACTCTATCACTAACGTCAGTTTAAATCTGAGTCAACTCTGTGTATTTCTAGATAATGCATGATGCCATTGCTTCATGGTAATAACTAGTAGTAATTAAAAGAAAATCGTAATTCTAGTGTAAATGATTTTATCATTACCCCTTGAAGTTAGCTTTATTACAGAAATCTGGTGTTCCTTTAAAAGCTTAAGTACAGGATGAAACAGTGAAAGTGGGTTTTCTCGGGGCACTCCCGTCCCCCCCCCCCACCCCACACACACAAACAAAATTTTTCCTTATGCTTTGGATCCTGTGATCTCAGCCCTGAAAAGGACCATCTCGTGTTTAAAGTAAATGTAAATGTAACAGCTAATGTGAATCAAAATAATAGTCATTACCCTAATCTGTTAACCAACCATCGGTAGTTAATATAATCTTAGTTTGATCTCAGTCTATAACGGACGTACTCGTGCTGCATCTCCCTGCTCTGCTCGTCAAGCGACCGACGCCACGTGGTCATCCAACGATCGTGTGCAGCGGAAAGATAAAAAAAAAACACCGAAAGACAGTACACAACTCAGCGAAGCTCTCCGTCTTTCTCTTCTTCTCCGCGTCTCCTCGCAGCTGTTCCCTCAGCATGTGAGCACCACTTTTTGAAAAATATCAGTTATAAACTCCATTCATGTAAACGTTTAATTCGTAAAAGCCTCGGCACCTTATTGTAACCATGTAGTGGAGTGAAGAGAAACAGAAGTTTCTGAACACCCCGGGTTATATTTCATTCCCTTCGGGGAATGAAATATACTATTAATCTAAATACCTACCATGCCTATCGCATCGAATCGAAACAGGAATCACCAGTCAATAATACATGATTATTACATAACTATAACATGTAGAATACTCAATGCTTTGTACACTAAACAATCGGCGTCTTTAGGGAGCCAATCCCTATTTCATTTATGAAGTGAAAGAATATAAAGAAATCAATATACATAATATTAACTTTACACACATTCATAGAATACACTAAATTCCAGTCAAGGAAAAACACGTCACGAAACAAGTAATAAAAACATTTTGTAAATGTAAAATGATGTGGAGATGGCAGTGACAAAAATAATGTAAACAAGAATATAGGGATGAGCTATACATAGATCACCACTATATGACTTTCAGTATTAAAATTTAATGTTACACTGTAAAATGCATACTTGATTTAATTTTACTGCAGTTGTAAATTATATATTTCTGGCTGTTTGTATGCAGTTTGTTTATCATAATAGCATGGTAATCTCAGGGTAGGCATCACTGTAGTGTAACTAAGAGCGTAGGACTTACATACAAGGAAAACCAAGTTGAGTAAAACATGTCTTGATTATTACAGACTCTCGTTTACAGGGATGGGGCGAATACTGGAGATCAATAATCGAATACAAATACGAACATGAATACAGGAAAAATGCTAAGTATTCGAATACGAATATATATGAATGTATTTATGAATACT